CCATGAACCGGGGACAGCCCACCCGGTCCAATCACACACACACCCCCATCCCGCAAATCAGGGAAAGCCCACTTGTGTGAACTGGATAAGGCCCACCTGGGTTCAGTCACACATCCCCCCACAAAACAGAGACAGCCCACCTGGGTCCAACCCCACACCCCATGAACTGGGGAAAGCCCACCTAGGTCTAATCACTCATTCACCCCCACACACACACACACCCCATCTCACTCACCCACAAACTTGAGCAAATCGGGGAAAGCCCTCCCAAATCCAATCTCTCTCTCTCTCACACACACACACACACCCACCCACCCACCCCCGTGAACTGGGAAAGCCCACTCAGGTCTAATCACGCACTTTCAAGGCCGGGCACCCTCGGTCCCAGGCACTGCCCCCACTCCAGGAATGAGGTCTGAAGGAAGCGCAGACAACTCTGTGCGACTCACTCACGGGCACAGACGGCACCACTGAAGGAGCCCCAACAGCATGATGTCAACGCAGAAACGAGAGACGGCAACAAGGGGAAACGAGACCTTCTTCAAAACCCTGTGTGCTGTGATGAGTGGTGGACCATCCCCTGGGAGCGCAGACACTGTCCAGGTCCTCACTCTGCAGACACCGCACTTTTCACAAGGGGTGCTGGCACCCTGTATGCCTGGGTCACTGTCCCAACACATCTGTGTCCCACTGTAGCAATTCCCACAGCCTTTCAAAGCTTCCTCGGAATACCACTGAACATAACAGCCTCTGTTAACTTTTACACGCTCTGGGAAGTCAGTCTGTGTGACTCACTTTATCACGTCTGCATTCTTGCGCGGCCTCAGGCTGGACCTCCGACAGTCCCAGGAAGGTAAGTCACCACGGCCTGCTTCCCGGTCCTGTCACAGTCCGACCCCACAGGGACAACCCCGTGAGCAGGCCAGGCGCACTCAGGGGAGAGCTGGAAACATGGTCCCCAGGCCCAACCGCAGCCCTGCATACCAAGCACCAGGGCCCAAATCCTGGGCCTCAAGCGTGGCTGCACATTACAGACACCAACCCGAGACAGTTAAGTAACCGACGCTTAGATCAGGTGGACCCGGCATCAGGATTTAAAAAGTTCCTGCTGGTTCTAAGGACTCTCTACTTGAGAGCTATCAGCTGTGAACTGGGGCCATCAGATCTGGGCCCCTTAACCTACAGCCCAAACCTAAGAATGGTTTTTGCATTTTCAAAGGCTGAGGGGCAGAAAATCAAAGATAAAATATGAATCTACAACACGAGAAAAAACTGAACCACGACTGATCTTAAACACGCGGCCACAGCATCTTGTATCAACGCCTGTTCTCGCCCCAGTGAGCCTGTGCAAACCATGCACACATGCACTACGTAACAGATGCAGCAGACACAGGAACTCATGCTCTCCAGTGCCTGTCGGGTTTTTAAAGGTCGGCCTGGTGGTCTAGTGGTTACTGGCGCACGGCCACTGGATGGCAGGCCCCTGGCGTCCGCCAGCTGCTCTGTGGTAGCCGTGTCATCTCCTTGGAAGTGCATGTAATATAAACCATGTGCCTTACACTGACCACTGCAGCTACTAGAGAATCAGCAAGGTCAAGGCCAGCCTCCGCACACCAGGCTTGGGAGACCGTTTCAGAGTGTGCCCTTTCCTCCCCTCTGGGACTGTGTCGGAGACGTGGTGAGTGAAAGCTGGCTGTCTGCACGGCCATCTCCACCTGCCTAGTCATGTCAGAAACTGCAGAACCACGTCTGCCAGCCTCTTCTCTGAGGCCAGACCAGCAGACACCCGCTTCTGTCCCCTGTGCACTGCTATGCCCTGCCTGTCCACCCTCAGAAGGCCCAGACATCCTACTGCTAAGACGTGCTGACAGAATCCACAGCTGCTCCCCCAGAGGCTGCAGTGCCCCCCACCCCGCCATCCACACTCCTATGGAGCGGACGGCTCTGTCCACCTCCACAGCACACGCATGCTGGTGGACAGGTCACTGTCTCGGTGCTGACCTGCACCCCATCCACACTCCTGGAGAGCAGACGGCTCTGTCCATCTCCACAGCACGTGCATGTTGGTGGACAGGTCACTATCTCGGTGCTGACCAACACCACCCCTCCACACTCCTGGAGAGCGGGCGGCTCTGTCTGACTCCACAGCACATGCATGTTGGTGGACAGGTCATGGTCTCGGTGCTGACCAACACCACCCCTCCACACTCCTGGAGAGCGGGCGGCTCTGTCTGACTCCACAGCACATGCATGCTGGTGGACAGGTCACTGTCTCGTGCTGACCTGCACCCCCAAGCCACCACCCTGAAACACCAGTGTCACAGCAGCATGCTCCTGGGGGAGTTCCAGGCAGCTTGCTGGTAACTGAGTGAGAGATCACTCAGCTCTGATTCACTCCACTCCCTTCGTCACTCTCAGCACCCTGTCCCCCCAGCAGGCTCCACAGCCACACGCCGAGAAACAGCTTCTCCGGCACCAGGCCAGCTGAGGAGTTACGGCACTCGTTCACTCATCCGGCCACATGTCAACAGTGTACCATGCTACAAAACCACCAAAAAACACCAGCTTGGGGGGGGGGGGTGGAGGAGAGGCCCCCGTGGGCCATGTACCCAACAAGGTCACTCCTTCTGAATTTGAATTGTGCACCTGCACTCGGACACTGACATTCTGTTCGTCGCCATGCCTGTGAGAAGCGTGGCAGGACATGCAGAGGGCAGTGAGTGCACCTGAGGCCTCAGGACACAGCCCGGGCCCCCCCCCCCCCGCCCCCCGCTCGCTCGGCCACGGAAGCAGCGGTCTCTGCACCGACCAGTCTGCGCCTGCTCACTCCGCTGCGAAGGGACCCTCTGAGATCAACGGGGTGATCTCTGCTCAGTGTCCACTCTTCAGGAACCTGCTTTTCTTTCCTCTTTTCAAACCAGGATGTGGAACCATTGAAAAACACATGGTTGGCTGAGAGGGTAGTGTCTCCAGGCCCTGCTTCCAGAATGTAGGAGGATGTGGGCAAGGTTCACGTCTAAGGTCAGCTGGACATTCAGAGGGGAATCACTCATGATGCAGGACGCTGGGCTGAGTGCCTCAGAGCCAGCTTCAAGCCGGCGCAGCTCCTCCACCAGGTGGCAGCACCTCCCAGGTCTCCCAGCGCTTGGATGTAGGTAGGTGAGCAGGTGAACCGCATTAACACCCACGTGACACCTGTCAAACTGCAGACCTTCCAGGCCTCCGCTCTTTAACATCCAGCTCATCCACTGTAATGACGTACGTACTTCACTTTGCTCACTTCCTCAGTGCTGTGGCCACTGTCTCCTGGGTGCAAGGGCAAAGTTTCTGCGGGGTCACCATCTAGGAGGCACGCACCTTCCATTTTACAAACTACTGTCAAATTTCTCTCAAAAGCAGGTCTAGTGCACAAGCCCCCGCCCCGGCAGCACTGTGTATGGAGTCCCGTCACTGCTCAGGCCCTCCCGTTATCTGAGGTGCGACACTGTGAACCGCTGCCCAGCTCGGACTCCCACCTGCAGCTCCCAGGTGACCGGGGAGGGCGGCGGCATCTCCTGCGGGCAGCATCTCCTGCGGGCCTCCCAGCGCCCGGGTGCTGAGCTGAGAAGCGCAGCTGTCCCAGTGTCTGAGCTCTGTGCAGATGATTCGTCCTTCCCTCTGCTCAGGGTCAAGCACACAGCAGCTCCTTCACCCGCACGTGAGCTGGTTCACCGGACAAGTTCTCCCCTCTGCCCGGCTGCTGACGGAGGCCTTCACCAGCGGCCCAGGGTCCTCACCTGAGCCCTTGAGTCAGCTCAGGGTGGCCAGCTGGGAGCCATTTTAAAAGCACGGCTTCACGTCCGGTGGGCAAGTCCTCCGCTGAGCTGCTCTTCCTATGAGCCTTTCTCCAAAAGGCCCTCACGGCTGTGGGCTCAGAACGGCCTCCGAGCCGAGCCCCAGCGTGTTCTCATACCTCTGCAGCCCGAGGCTGTGTACCCCCATGGAGCTGCTGGGGGATTCGAACCCTCACAGAGGTGTCATCGTTAGGTCAGGAATGCAACTGCTGCTTATCAAGCTAAAAAAAAATTAATGCTGCGATTTTGATTAAATTGTACTCAATTTACAGATTATGTTAGTGAGAAATACCTCACCAAAATACTGAATTTTTCCTTCATATGAAAACATCATCTCCAAGTCTGCTTAACCAATTTTTTTTCCAAAATCATACACGTTTCATTGTATTTGTTTTAGTACCGTATGTTTTTGTTGCTATCATGAAAGCATTTTTGAAACGACATCATTTCCTTTTTGTGGCTGTTTTTAGATGTCAATTCATTCATTTTAAAGATTGTCTATAAATTGTTGTTTTCTACCCATATAACCATTCCTGAATGGAGAGAACCCACATTTCCTTCTTCATTTTAAACCATACAGAGTTCTGCTTTGTTCGCACAACCGCAGCGTGATCCAGGTACGAGTTTCTCATGAACACTATTAGGAGCCCTGGATTCACATGCTTCTCACTGTCAGCCACACAGTAAAACGTCTTTGCATAACCAATAAAGAACAAACAGGAATTCTGCCGGTATTCCTTACTTTCAGCCAGGATTCATCTGACATCAGCAATGATATCCCTGGTGCCACGGCCTCTTCTAAATCCTGCTTGAAATTTCTGGCAGTTCCCATCTAGTAACTGTTCTATCCGTTTTTAAATGATTGCTAACAGTATCTTGCTTGCATGTGAAATTAATGATATTGTTCCATCATTTCCACATTCTATTGGATCACCTTTCTTGCGAATGGGAGAAAATAGGGACTTTTTCCAAATCCTCTGGCCAGACAACCGTCATCCAAGCTTCCTGGCATGGACTGATGAGCACATCCAACGCTGCGTCTGTTAACGGAAACAAGTCAGTTGGTATCCTAGTGATTCCGGGAGCCTTATTTTTTGCCAATGCCTTCAATGCAGTTTCCACTTCCTCCTTCATTATCATTATTCATATGGGTTTTTGCCAAAACTTTTCAGTGTCGTTTATTGGTACAGTGATTCTGTGTATTGTCTCCCCCCCGCCCCAACTCCTTCTGACACTGTCTAGGTCATTCAGTATACTGTACGTAGCTTCTTTCAATAATGCAACTCAAGACTGCCATGTTTTTCAGTTCTCTCAGCTTGAGAAATGCAGAGCGAGTTCTTCCCTTTTTATCCTCCAACTCCAGCTCCCTGCACATATCGTTAGAATACTTTTTTTGTCCTCTCAAGCTGCCCCTTGAAAATCTTCTGTTCAGCTCTTTACTTCAGCATGTTTTCCCTTTCTCTGGGCTTCTTATGCTCCAGAGTAGTTTTTAGAGTCTCTTCTGACATGCATTTCAGGTTTTTTCCTTTCTCCTGTGTTTGTAATGACCTTTTGCTTTCTTCATGGATGATATTCTTGATATCATTCCAAAACTCATCCAGTCTTGGGTCACTGGTGGTCAGTGCCTCAAATTTATTCCTAAAATGACCTTGAAATTCAGATAGAATTGATTCAAGATCCTATCTTGGTTCCTGTGGACGTATTATCATTTTCCTCGGCCTCAATTTGAGTAATCTGATGATCTGTACCTGGCCTAGTTTTGACTGATGTTTAGCTTCTCCAACGATTTCTTCCACAATATAGTAAATCTGATTCCTATGCAGCCTTCAAGGGAAATCCATGTGTACAGTCGTTGTTTTTGTCTTTAAAAAAAGGTATTTACAATGAATAAGTCATTGTAAAAACAATATTCAATCATTCTATTTTCAGCCTCGTTTCTATCATCAAACCCACATCTGCCAACCACTTTTCTTTCTTCACTGTTCCCAACTTTTGCATTCCACTCACCAATTATCATTAATGCATCTTGACTGCATGTTCAGGTAATTCTGGACTGCAGTATTTGGTAAAAATTCTCAATTTCTTCCTCTTTGGCTCTAAATGTAAAAGTGTACATTTGAATAACAGTCGTTTATAATGGATCTTTCTTGTACGCACACTCAATCTGTCTGCTGGGCAAATCATTTGAGAAGCCGGACTCTATGAAGAGAAATATGCCATCAGGAGGGAGACTCATCAATAACCTGCATTATGCAGATGACACAACCTTACTTGCTGAAAGTGAGAAGGACTTGAAGTACTTGTTGCAGAAGATCAAGGAACGCAGCCTTCGGTATGGATTGCATCTCAATGTCAAGAAAACAAAAGACTCTTTCTTCTGAACTCATAGGCACCATCATGATGGATGGAGAAGAGATTGAAACGGTCAACAATTCATCTTACTTGGCTCCACAATTAACACCCTTAGTGCCAGCCATCAGGAAAAAGGCGATGCACTGCACTAAGTGTGCAGTAAGGGACCTCTCCAAATTACTGAAGAATAATGATGTCAGTTTGAGGACAAAGGTGGGTCTGATGCAGACCATAGTCTTTCCAGTCACTTGCTATGCATCTGAGAGCTGGACAGTGAACAAGGATGACAGAAGAAGAATTGATGCCTCTGAGCTGTGGTGCTGGAAAAGAGCACTGAGCATTCCATGGACGGCCAAGAAAACAAATAGGTATGTCTTGGAGAGGGTGCAGCCAGAGTGCTCTTTGGAGGCAAGAATGATGAGGCTTCACCTCACATACTTTGGACATAGTGCTACAAGAGGCTGGCTATTCCTTGGAGAGGGACACAGTGTTGAGAAGGGTGGAGGGTCAGCAAAGGAGAGGAAGACCCTCAGCCAGGTGGACTGACACGGTGACTGCTGCCGTGGGCTCTAGAGTGTTGGGATGTGTAAAGACAGCACATGACAGGACAGGGTTCAGATCTTTTCTTCACAGGGTCGCTCTAAGTTGTATTTGATTTGCCAGCACCCAACAACCACCACCATTCCTGAAGATGACAGCTTGATCTCTTCCTCTGCAATTACGCTTTGTTTTACTGTGCATGGCAGATACTGGTATGTTTAAGATAAATGATGACGGAAGAGCCTGTCTAAAACATTTTCAAGTTCATGACCAAGTCTTAGCAAGAAGTATACTTGTAACTTTCTAATAGTTATCCTTCAACAGATTAAGGAAATAATTTACTCTTAATTTGCTAGCTATTATTTATCACTAACAAACAGTGTGAATTTCAGCAACTACATTTTTCTCCGTTTACTGGGTCATCAATCTGCCACGGGCGTGAGTCCTCAGCAGACTGCCCGACGTTAGCTCACGGCAGCATTCCTGCAAAAGCTCCACAGTGCTTCTGGAAGGCCCTCGAGGCCGGAAGACACTGTGTGCAAAGGGTTCCCCGTGACCTGGCAGCCACATGGTCATGTGCCTACTGGGGTTCCTCACAGTGCCCGGTGCTGGCTGTGCCGCCACCAACAGGTGCTGGGCAATACTAGAAAAACATTTGGAAAAGCAACAGTGTTTTTAACTAGCACTTTTAATTGCTGTATGGATTTAGACTTCAGGATAGAAAATCCTCAAGAAAGTACAATAAAAGTACCCAGTAAGGCCCAGACTAACCCACATACTTCAAGTAACAGTCAAACGACAAAAAATGGGAAGTCTGCAGTCCTTTACGAGGAACGGGGACTTTACTATGTAGTAACAGACTGCAAACTTCATGAAAACTGTTGAGAAAAGAATTTGTATGTTCTCAATAAGCCTTGTCATTTTCAGTATTATGGCAATAAACAAACCCTCAAACACCTAATGGTAGTAAATTATGTCATTAATCTTGTTGCTGCTCAGGGCCTTGGAGTTGGTTCTAAATTTAACAGAACAGAACACGCCCTGATGTGTGCTGTCCTCCACCACAGCTGCGCCTGAGCCCCTTGTCACAAACACCGGTAGGTACATTTGTTCTTACTGTGTCCTCAAAAAATCCAAGTTATAACTCTAAACTCTAAACGTGTGTTTGCTGGGCTGACGAGGCGTGTTAGTGCAGGCTGGGTCTGAAACGCCTCTCTGGCCTGCGGAAGAGCGGCCTGCACCAACGACCAGGCGAAAAGCAGAGCTGGGGGCAGAGACCCTCTATCACACGCCATCTCCCAAGCAAACCAACCAGCTGAAAAGAGACTGGGCCCTTCCTCCCCAAACTAACTGAGAATGTTCTGCTAGAGGTCTGAACTCAGACTACCAGCCTCCTAAACAGTGGTAACGTGGATTTCTGTTTGTCATCACTGTGACACTTCTGTTACAGGAGCACTAGAAAATTAGGACAATGAGTGGTAGCCCCTGAGTGGTGCAAATCATTAAGCAAAAGACCTGGCAAAACACACCCGCCCAGAGGCACCTTGGAAGTTACAGCCTCGAGAGCTCTACGCTGCACTGCTCCGCGAAGCGCACGGTCGGAGTCAGAACAGATGCCACCTGGCGAGGTTTCTCGTTTCAAACACTGGAGAAGACATCGACTCAAGAATCAGGTGAAACCGCTGAAGACCGACCCCTGAAATCGACTTCCCGCCATCCCCGCTACCTTCCTAGGACATCAGGAGGAACACTTCTGTGACCCACAGTGGAAAAGGCTGCCCCACAGATCCATCTAAGGCTGAGGCGGGCTGGCAGGCGGCTCTGCCATTCCGCTGAGCAGACGTCTGCACGAAGGAACGTGCCTCGCACGCAGAGAGCTCGGAGCACAGTGAGACGAAGCACTCTCATACCCACCTCATCCCTGTGCTTTTGACAGAAGACCAGAAACTGGGACACAGCGTCGCCCTTCCTGCTCCGTGGGGTGCAGCCCGTCGCCTTCTTTCTTCCAGGGGGGGACCCTATTCCTCTTTTGGGGTCCACTTCTGCTATCTTTTGAGGAGTGGTGTCCACGCCCCCAGGAAAGTCGTCCTGGCCTTCAGCAGGGCTCAGCGGCTTGGCGGCTCTCCTCCTCCTCTTGATGGAGACGCTCTCCTCCTTCGGGGACTCCCGGCTGTCAGAAGCCTCCTCGCTGACTCCTGAGGACGCAACCAATTCTCCTGGGGTATCCACAGCAATGCCAGCCTCCCTGGCCACACACGGGTTCAGATGAAGCTGGTCCCCCACGTAGATGAAGGTGAACTTGGCTTTCCGCTCCTCCACAGACATGCCTGCAGCTGCTTTAGCTTGAACAAGACCCATTTCCCACTGGGCCCGCAATTTCCCTGAAATAGGTTTTAACAGCTAAAAAGAAAAACACCATAAGACATCGTGAAATTCACTGCACAAACAGAAAAGTTAAATAACGTTAAAGAAGAATATTTTTAGAATTTCAGATAAATTTAGAAATGAAAAATTTACCCAGAAGAATTTAGAACTTCATTCAATATAGTGTCACTGTTTATTTTAGAGGAGAAATCAATTATGATTACAAGTGTTATCTATGCACATCTAGAGAACAAAAATTATAAAAGCATTTCTTTCTAGGAGTCATTAAATAAAAAGATAATGCATTGTGTTTCTAAAGAAATTTGTCATATTTAGGATCACATACTTGAACAAAAGCAAGCAATTACAAAAAGAAGTCATTATAGTATTTCAATCAGCTATAAATATGATATACAACAAAGGAGAAATGAAAATTTCTATCTACAAGTTCAACTGAATACGAGGAAGAGGCATCACCTTAATCTTCTCGGCCTTCGTGGGAGCCAGTTTGGCACTTTCCTGGCATAACTTCTCAAACTGTCCTTCCCCTTCAAAAGCCACAAGGCTCTTCTCAAATATCCAAGCTCTTTCTGGGGCATCACCAAAGAACTGTACATGATACTGGCGTGCACTCTTTTTCTGACCTAGATTTGAAAAGAAAATGTTAGAACTTGTAAATTAGAGTTTGGGGATGAAATTAGGCAGATCTATTAATAATTACTGATAGGACACTGGGAACTGCTTTGAAGTTGCTTTCCCTAGTGCTGTTTTGAGTTTGTTGACCTCAAATTTAATCTTCCCCTTCTTATTCCTACCATGCCTGAGGCTAAGAAGAGAAAATCAACAGACTCCTTCATGAAAGACACCAATAAAGCTCAGAATCTTCTGGAAAAAGAGAGCAGGTTCAATGGAGCCCTTTATTGCTTCTCAAATGCCAACTTTTTCTTAAAAAGATACAGCACGAATAAAGTAAGAGACAGTATCAGTAGAAGGTGTATTTCAACAGAGAGGGCTGCAGGGATCAACGCCAACGTGCTGGAGTTGGCCGCTGTGGGCCCCGCTCCCGGCACTCAGGTGCCGAAGCCTCAGAGGTGGTGAGGAGAGCACACAGAAGCCACTGAAGCTGCCACTGCTGTGAGACATCAGCAGAAAGGAAGAAGCCACATCCCACAGTGTGGCCTGTGGGGGACCTGCGGGGGGAAGGAGACACTCTTACCCCAAAGCCAGATTCCACTGAGGTCAAGCGTCAGGTTGAAACCAGGCATAACAATTGAAAACGTATCCATTTCAATCCCAGCCCTCAAGGGGGTGGGGGGGGGAGATTAGAGCGTCTCAGCCACTCAGTCTTCTCAGCAAACTGCTGGTGGCAGGAGGTCAAAGGACACTGCCTGCAAACAGAAAGCCTTCAAAGAGTCAACCTTCAGTGAGTCTTCACCTGCTGAAGCTTCTGAACCGGGCATCCAGCCATCAGGTGGATGGTGGCAAAGTGATGGCAGCCAGGTGTCCCCAGCACCTGCACCCAGAAGGCTATGAGGACTGCAGTGCTAACCACCAACCCAGCCCCCAGGGAGCCTCCCCAGCCACCGAAACAGCCGCAGGGCTCAGACACCAGATAAGAAAGAGACAGGCCCCACGCCAACACTAGACGGCCAGAAAACAAGAGGAAGAACAATGAGCCTCATCTTCCTTTTCCCGACAAGAAAGGCAATACAATAGGTTTACACGGTAAATAAAAACAAGCAGCTCGAACTGGGAGAACATGGTGAAAAGAACTGAAAATCCTCCGGGGAGGAGAGGAGAGCGAGCTGTTGCTAACTCTTTCAGCAAAGTCACTTGTGGGTAAGTAGACATATTTTTTGGTTTAAAGATATTTAAGAGACTTTTGTCACTGCTCCCGTTCTTCTGCACCACGCTGGACGACTAAGAGAAGGAGCAATAGCCGGAACCTCCCAGCAGCTAGCTGCGTGGAGGACAGACATGCTACACCGTTCAGTATGGATTACATCTCAGCATCCAGAAAGCCAGGCCTCCCAACTAGAACCACAAACATCTTGCTAAAAGAGAGAAAAGATTCAAGTTGTCAAGGATTTCCTTTCACCTGGATCAACAGCCAACAACCCAAGAAGCAGGAGTCAAGAAATGAAGCAACATACTGCACTAGGCAGGGAACTCTGGTGGCCTAGTGGCAAGAAGCTGCGCTGCAATACTGAAGGCACACAGTTCAAGGCCACAAGCTGCTCCTCGACAGGACGGGCATTCTATTCCCATGCAATCAACTAAAAAACCCGCTGCAGGGTCAGTTCTGACTCGACAGTACACAACAAGGACATTGCATTAGGCAAATCTTGGGCAGAATGTCTCATCAATGTGGAAAGCAAGAAGTCCCTTGATGGTCTATGCTGCCCTGGACACAAGCCATGGGCTTTTAGACCCCCTCATAACTTCAATGAGCTGGACGGCCACAGTGGATTTTGGGACTGTGCGATAAGCAGGGTTTGGTTGTTATACACGGGGCTGCTGTGTGTAGAAGCCAATGCAACAACACACAACAACAGATGCATGGGAAAGCTGGACGGAAAAATGGCTGTCTCTGAACTGGTGGAGGAGAAGAGTACTGAACAACAATGGACTGCCAAAAGAACAACGAAATCTGTTTTGAAAAAAACTGAAGCCAGAAAGTTCATTAGACTGCAAACTGCTGAAAATTTGTCTCACATACTTTCGGCATATTATCAGGATGGCTAGTCCTGGACAAACATCATGTTTGGTAAGAAAGAGGGTCACCAAAAAATAGCAACATTTCCATGAGATGTTTTGTCCGCCCAAGCTGCCCTCTAAAACTGTCTGTTCAGCTCTTTTACTTCGACATGTTTTCCTTCAGATTTCACTTCCCGATGCTCCAGTGAAATCTTTAGAGTCTCTTCAGAAATCCGTTTCAGTTTTTCTTCTCTGTTTTTGTAGTGACCTTTTGCTTTCTTTGTGGATGATATCCTTATCACCTCACAACTCATCTGGTCTTTTATCATTGGTGTTCAATGTCTCAAACCTATTCTTTAAGATGATCATGAAATTCTGATGAAATTGATTCAAGATCATCTCTTGGTTCCTGTGGATTTATTTTCATTTTCTTCAGGCTGAATCTGAACTTCCATATGAGTAACTGATGTTCTGACCCACCGCCTGCCCCTGGCCTACTGCTGACTGCTAATATTGAGCTTCTCCAGCGATTTCTTCCACAAATGTAGTCAATCTGAATACTATGCAGCCCACTGGATGAAATTCATGTGTAAAGTCATCTTTTTTGTCTTTTAGAAAAAATATCTGCAATGAATAAATCATTGTAAATACAAAATTCCGTCATTCTATTTACAGCTTCGTTTCTATCACCAAGCCCATATTTTCCAACTACTGTTCCTTCTTTGTTGTTTCCTACTTTTGCATTCCAGTCACCAATTATCATTAACGCATCCTGATTGCATGTTCAGTCAATTTCAGACTGCAAACTTTGGTAAAAATTCTCCATTTCTTTCTCTTCGGAACTAAATGTAGGAGCATATACTTGAATAATAGTTGTGTTAATGGATCTTCCCTGTATGGGTATAGATATTATCCTATCACTCATTTCAAGACAGAACTTGAAATTGTCTTTTTGACTATGAATGAACACCATTCTTCGTCGGTTTTTCATTTCCTGCATAGTATATCATATGACTATCTGATTCAAAGTGGCCATACTTGGTCCATCACATCTTACTAAAGCCTTGTCGTTGTGGTTGTTGTTATGTGCCATCTAGTCACTTGCGACTCACAGCAACCCAACGTACAAGAGTCCTAAACCCTGCTCTCTCTTGTGCCCACCTCACTGTCTCTGACACACCTACTCCAACTTCCCCAATCACTGAATCAATCCATCTAATCGAGGTTCTTCCTCTCCTGTACTGTCCCTCCCACCTCCCAAACATGATGTCCCTCTCCAAGGACTGGTCCCTTCTTGCAACATGTCCAAAGAATGTCAGACGAAGCTTCATAATCCTTGCCTCCAAGGAATAGCCTGGTTTCACCCTCACTAGGACAAACCTGTTTGTTCTTCTAGCAGTCCATGGTATATTCAACACTCTTCTCCAGCACCACAGCTCAAGGGTAACAATTCTCTTTCTATAATCCCTAGTCATTGTCCAGCTCTCTGACACACAGCACGCAACTGCGAAGACTATGGCCTGGATCAGGTGCACCTTAGTCTCCAGGCTGGCGTCATTGCTCTTCAGTACTCTGGAGAGCTCCCTGACAGGTGACTTTCCCAATGCAATTCATCGCTTGATTTCCTGGCTGCTGGTACCAAGAGTACTGATTGTGTTGCCAAGCAAACTAAAACTGTTAATCTCTTCACCATCCATTATGATGCTGCCAACTGGCCCAGTGGTGAGAATCTTAGTTTCCTTGATGTTACGTTTCAGTCCAGATTTAAGGCTGCTATCCCTGACCTTCTGCAATAAGCATTTCAAGTTGTCCTCAGTATCAGCAAGCAGGGCTGTGTCCTCTGCATAATGCAGGTTGTTGATAAAACTCCCTCGAATCTTGATGCCACATTCCTCCTCATACAGCCCAGCCTCCCAGATGATCTGTTCTACATACAGATTGAAAAGGTCTGGAGACAGAATGCATCCCTAGAGGACACCCTTCCAGATTTTGAACCATGCAGTGTCTCCTTGCTCTGTTCTGACAACTGGTTCAAGTATAGGTTTTGCAAAAGCACAATCAAATGTTCTGTGATTCCCATTCTTCTCAGAGTCAGCCACCATTTATTGTGATCCACACAGTCAAAAGCCTTTGCACAGTTAATGAAACACAGATAGACATTATTCTGGTACTCTCTGCTTTCTGCCAAGATCCATCTAATATTAACTATGCTGAGTATGTCAATATTCATGTGTTCCATTTCATTTTTAACAATATCCAATTATCCAATATTCAAGCTACAAACATTGCATGTACCAATTGTTAAACGATGTTTGTTACTGATTTTCCTCATTTCATCTACTTCCAATGTGGGTTCTACCACTATACTACTATCACTACCCTCTTTGTTTAGTCTTCATAGGGTTTTCAAAAGCCTTTTATTTATAAAGTAGATGGCCCATCCTGCTTCCTAGTCTGTCTTAATCAGGGAGTTCCACCAAAACCCACCCATGATGGGAAACCCTTTTGGAATTTGACTCAGCAGTGGCAAAGATTTCAGTATCACAGCAACCTCAAGTAATCACAGTACAGCAAACTTACAGACAAGTGCTGTACCACTTATAACAATGTGTCATTATAGGCAGTGTTATGATGGATGGAGAGGAGACTGAAACTGTCAACAACTTCATCCTGCTTGGATCCACAATTAACACCCTTGGTACAAGCAGTCAGGAAAGGAGGAGACACATTGCAAAGGGGAAATCGGCAGTTAGGGACCTTTCCAAATTGTTAATGAGTAGTGATGTCAGTTTGAGGACTGAGGTGCATATGATTGAGGTCATGGTCCTTCCGATTACTAGCTGTGCATCCGAGATCGGGATAATGAATAAGAATGACAGAGAAGAATTGATGCCTTAGAGCTGTGGTGTTGGAGAAAAGCACTGAACATTCCATGGACGGCCAAGAA